TGTGGTGGTGTGATTGAGAGACCGTATCGCCTGCGGGAAGAAGCTCCTCCTCAGTCTCTCTGTGTTGGTCTTCAGGGAGCGGAATCGCTTTCCTGACCTCAACAGAGAGAGGTCAGGAAAGATATGGAAACGTATGTGTGTGTGTGTCTTTATGGTTTAAACTTGAAAAATGTAGAGTTAAAGGACATCAAAGCATATGAAATGAAAAAGTCTGCAGTGAATTTACAACGAAGACACTTTTCTGTTATCAGAATATTTGTTTATTTTTAATTCATATTGAACATTATTGGTATCAATTTAAACACATGCATGCGCAGAAACATATATAAGCAAAATGCAAAGTCTCAAAAGTAAAACTTTTTTTATTCTTCAAAAGCAACTCTTCATGTTAGGATATTATTACTGCATCATTATCTTCCCACTTCATGTATCTTTTTTCTTCTGGCATCCTTTTTAACGTGTATATTTTGGTTTGGTAACACATATATGCAGTAAACTTTTATCATTAAATGATATTTTTCCATTTTAATGTGGATCCCTTTCTTTGTGTTGTCAGTGCTCCTATCCTGTGTGGGAGGACTTCAGCGCCAAGGCCACCAAGCTGCATTCCCAACTCCGGTATGCTCCACTGCACAACACACCACTGCACAGTCAACAGCTTTTGAATTATGAAAATATTAAGAGAATATTTAATGCCAGTTTCAAAACAAGACAGATTAAAGTCGAGAGAATTTGGGATTTTTTTTTATTTTGCCTTCATTTAAAGGCATAGACTAAATATGAGAATGCAGTAGCCTGAAAAGTGGGCCTAATATAGGGCATTAAACCAGTTAATATGGGAGTGGATAACTGGGTGTTACAGTTTTAACACACTCTGAGCTTTCTTGTAGGACAGTCCTAGCAAAAACTGTGGAAAGGTATATGAGTCCCACATCACAGACATGACTTTTCCACTTGTTTTTGTTTGCAACGCTGTGTTTCCTTCAAAACATTCACATTCTGTTTTTTCAGACATGCCCACTGTCGCATCCAAAAGATGAATCAGAAATGACAATGAATGCAATTAAAGTGTTCATCTATTTGATATTTTAGTTGTTAAAATGTTTTTATTAGTGAGTCACTTAAATCCAAACCTCACCTAAAACGAGTTGAGGAAGTTAAGGCTTTAAAACTGACACAGCAGCAGGTATTGTTGGTACAGCTTCATTTTTATATACAGTTTTAAATATAGTCTATGTATAAATTCCATAATATCCTAATATCATGTGAAGTCAGGCTGAAGTTTTGTCAAAATGCTTTTTTCTGTCCATAGAACCACTGTGTTGGCTGCCGTGGCCTTCCTCGATGCCTTTCAGAAGGTGGCAGACATGGCTACCAACACCAGAGGTAGGATAACAACGTGTGTGTGCGGGTTTGTAAGAAAGAAACAGCGACTTGCTCAGAGAGCCGTAAGCTCTGTGTCTTCTGTTGTTGCTTTTCTGAAATGCCCTCCACATTGCAGAACTATCAAGAGTATTATTATGTTGTTGAGATATTATCAACCAGCCTTCTAAAGAGCCATCTTACTCATGAAAGTGTTTCCAGTGTCCTCGAGGTAAACTTTGTCCCAAACTTCAAAACAAGTTTACTGCTGTTTACAGAGACAGAAACATGATGGAAGTACCTCAGAGAGGTCAATCAAATCTATTTTTGTAGCAGGATGCATTTTATCAGGCATCCCAATGCAACGGGAAACACCTTTTAAACACTGAGACAACAGGGGACAAAAAA